TTATGATGATAAGTATATAAGTTGCATTCGAAAATGCTCTATCTCCAGATACATAATTAAGAAATGGTCTTATATCTCGTGGACTATTGACGTTTTTAAAGATATAAGCTCATCCTGACATTACACTCATCAAGATCTTTCATTTGAGTACCTACATCAATTTTTCATATATTTTATATATTTATATATATATATATATTATATATATATATATATGTATATATGAAAAATATATTAAAAATTCAAGTGGGTACTCAAATGAAAGCTCTTCATGAGTATAACGTCGGGATGAGCTTATATCTTTAAAAACGTCAATAGTTAAAAAAGCACTGTGCAATTTAACAAAAGTCATTATTTAAAAGCATCTGATTTAAACACTATATACAATTAACATGAAAGTAATCATTTCAAATCATCTTTCTAAATCTGGGTGATTTCAAGGAACTCATACTTAATTACAAGTTAACTTGCAGCTCTTTTTCTTAATGAGTCTCCGGAATTAATTGATATCGTCGAAGACTCGAAAGAGAATTGTGGTCCAGGTACCAGGTGTAGGTGTAGGTGTTTTGGACTTATTTTTCACGGACTAGTGCCACAAATTTGTCTTTGGTCCGTGGCTCGGGGTGAAATCTCGATCCGGCAAGAACATATACGGACCCAATCAAATTCCCATGATTCCGAATTAGCAGATGCTTTCGCCAGATCGAATGGACGCCCTGTGGCGACCCTCTGTGAGAGAACCCAAGGAATGTAAGCCCCGAGCCTTAAAATATTCACGACAACTATATTAGCCACTCAGATAGGATCGGCATCATACTGCGTCCCGTCCGTCTCTTGGTTAAAATCACCACCTTAACCTAACCAACTAACCACCTAATATAACCTAACCATCCTCTTCGGCTATTGGTCTGTTCTTGCAATGCCACTCGATCGATCGTAGTACAGAAATTACTGTAAATTGCACATTTAATTGAATTGTTTTTATAGTGTCGACACAATAGTATATTTAGATCTAATCTACGGCGATCTAAATCCTGGTTTACAGTGTCTAATTTTTTTGTGTTTTAGATCTGATCTGCGAAGATAAAGATAAGAGAATCACAAAAGTGTTGATTCAAAATTTTAATTTTTAAGAAAAAATAAATTTTAAATCTAACATCTCTTATTTTTTTTTATCAGATAGATATTAAATCTTTTTAATCCTAAAAATAGAAAACTAACTATATTTTTTCAAACAAACAAACTGAATATTTTATATATAGACCAAAGCTTAAAAAAAAACATTTATTTTTAACAATTATATATTATATTAATTAAATAAAAAATAATATTATTATATTGTATAATATTAATTATTATTATAAATTAATAATAATAATAATAAAATAATTCTTACAGATGATACCTGATCAGAAAAACTTCAATAAATACTTACAAAGGTTGATAATTTAAAATATAAAAAAATTTTACAATAGCTCATCATATTCTTCCGAAATTTCCAATTGATAAATTCTCACGAAGATCATCATTTCCTGAGATTCTCAAAAAAGTAACAAAGTAACAATAAAAACTCTTGGTTAATAATTTCCATGACAATAATAAAAAATTTTTATTCCAGATAGGAGTCAATAGTCAATTGACAGCTCTTGGAGTACACATCGCAAGTATATCTTTTCTCTTCTCCCATCAGAGAGATATCTCAGGTCTCAGGCCGGGAATGAAAAGGGCGAGAAGAAGCAAAGGTACCGGGTAATAAGAAGATATAATAAAGGGAGAGTATAAAGAAGAGGACAAACTAAAGAGAGAATAATATTACCGATAAGAGATGGGAATAAGCGAGGAAACGGGCGTGCTCAATGCTCGCGCATTGGTGCTTTATCAGGGCCTGTATGTTAACAGTCGCCATGTTTGAATCCCCTCCTGAGTATCACGTGTGTGATGCTGTACTGGACCCGGTAAAGCTCAAGAGTATCCACATGCGTGATAATACACACACTTACATTGCTAATGTTTACCCTACTCCCAGCAAGTGCGATTGCCAGCCTGCAAATGGCGATGATAAATCACCAGGTATGTTTCATTTAAAATCAGCCTTTTTTTTCACTTCATACCTCTGCCTATTAACATTTACATTATCATTATCATTAATATTATCATATCATATCATAGTCATTTAGATCTATTTGCTAATGTCAGCTTCGCGAGCTATTAGCTTCAATAAAATATAATTTTATTGTCAGTTATTCTTCATTAACATATTCATATAATTATTTAGAAGTTAGCTTCTTAAAAATCCTACAACAGTTTTTTTACAAAATCTTTTTCTTCTTTAAGAGTTAGATGATTATATAGAAAGAAAAATTTCTTGATTGAAGAATAAAATTCTTGGCTCAAGAAAATTTTTGGGTGTTTGAAGGAAGACCGAAGTTAAAATTTTTCTTTAAATTCTATTTTTGGTAGAAGTAATTTTTTCTTAATTTAAATTATCATAAATATTTGATACAATAAATTTTTATATTTGATCAAGATTTTTAGATACTTTAGGGAAGCAGCGCCACCTACTTCAGCTGAGAAAAAAAATTTTCTCACCTTGAGAAAATTTTTCTCTTGAATATTTAATATCCATTTTATATTAATTTAGCGTGCAATTATACATATTGAATAAAAAAAATTAAATATTATTTGATCTTGCCATTTGGCATGTTAATCGATAAAAATATTAATGAAAATTTTCTTCTATCTTTATATTTAATTTTTTGGAGCAAGAGAGAAATTTTCTCAAGACAAGAAAATTAACTTCTATCGACCTAAATTTTTTGGAGCTCAAGGCTGAATTTTCTCAAAGCAAGATTTTTTTGACTTAAATAAATTTTCTTGGATCAAGATACTTCTCAAAGCAAGAAAATTAATTTTGTTGGAATAAGTGAAATTTCTTCTCAAAAAAATTTTTTTCCCAAGGAAATAATTAGGAAGAAATATTTTCTTGGCTCAAAACCTTTTTTTCTGTACTAAAAAAATTATCTTGACTCAAGAGCCAAAATCTTGAACCAAGAAAAATTCTTGAAACAAGAAAACTTCAAACCAACAATAATTTCTTAATTCAAGAATTTATTCTTTTGACCCGATAAAATAATTTTCTTCAAAATAGTATTCTTGATTCTTAAGTCAAGTTAATTTTTTCATCATGTGTATTAATATATTGCAGGTTAATTATTTTTAAGTTAACCTTTTAAAAATCCAACAGTTTCTCAACAAAATCTCTCTTTCTTTTATTTCTTCTTTACTTTAAGAGTTAAGAGTTTGATGATTAGATAAGCCGAGGAGGAATTTTATGAGCAGTAACGAAGACATTAATTGTCGGATTATCGGCACTGTTGACTCAACCCTGAGATGGAACGTGAGCTGCAACCACAGGGATGATGTGTACTAAATATCCTGATCCCCAGATATGATATCGAGGAAAACAAGGTACACATATTCCTTGCTATTGAATCTAACTCTCAGATTCATAATGTATGTATGTATGTTAAATTTCTTCCTCGATCTCTAGTTATTATAATTCAGGCCCTCAATATCCACCCACGGTGTGTGACAAGAAACACTTGAGTTGATACGTATTAATTAAATGGCTCATTTTGATCGAGGATAAAAAAAAAGCGGTACCTCGTTAAACGCCCATCGTCAACTAAATGTCTCTCCCAACTGGTGGTCCAGCCGCTGGAGTCTGTTGGATTATATTCTTCCTGTCTTTCAGCCAATCAGCTGGCAACCTTCCACGCCCACTGGTAGCTCTCGAACAAACCACGCCTTGGGGGCTGTTACGTCCCCGTTTTTCAGTATTTGCAACCACAGTTTACAGGGGAACTAAACAAGTTACTTTCCGAGGTACCGATCTCCCCACTTATTGGCTCTACACGAGCCGCTCTGTTAAGCCGGTAATTTTCTCAAACACTAGCAAGCGTTCAAGCCAGAAGCATCTCCGTGGTTTTACGCTTAAATTAAATTGTTTCTCTTGTCATTATTTATTATCATTCATTTATATTAATATTAATATTATAATTACCTGAAATTTAGTGTTAGTGCCAGTGTTTTAATAATTTTATTTGCAAACTTTTAGAGCAAGGATTCTACCCAAGGATTTTTTTAGTGTTCTGTGAAGAAATATATGACAGACATTAATTAATTTTTTATAAAAAAGTGAAAATTTTAAATTTTAAGTGAAAATTTTTAGAATCTATTGTAATTAATTAGTTAAAAAAATTTTTTTAATTCACAGCTAACTTCAGTATAAAAAAATTTCGGAGTGACTAATTAATTAATTATAAATATCCAGGATAATTATTAAAGATTATGTGATTGAACTTCGGAGTCTGGATATATAATAGTGCGACAAAATAATTTCTTCGAAATTCAAGTGATTGATATTAATTTTAGGAACAATTCCCTTAAAGCAAGATACATAGATTGATTAGATTCGCAAAAGAGAATACAAGTAATGATTTGGACGAAACAAGAGTTAGCCTGAAAGGTGAAATTTTATTTAGTTATTTAGAGCAAAGTTATTTCTTCTTAAAATTTCTTCACACAAGAACATATAATGTGATTAATGATAAAAAATTTTTGACTACCTTGAAGATGTCATTAAAAAGTGAAAATTCGCGGATTAGTCCGGTAATTAATTTGGTGTTGAATTAATGTAATTAATTTAAGATTCCGTCGGAAGAAATTTTAATACTAAGACAGTGAATAGTCTAAGTATTATTTAATTAATTTAATTGGCCATGAAGTCGGAAGTCCTTGCAGTGATCTAAAATTAATTCAAAAATATTAATATATAAATTAGTGTGTTAAAATTGAATTAATTAATCATTACCAAATACTATAACAATGAATATATATTATGATTATAAAAACAATTGATAAAAAGCAATTAAAAATTCTGTAAAGAGTTACTTGGTAACGTCGTACAAGAAGTTAAAGAAACAATTAAGCGTACGATGATGCCGCTGGCACCGACGCCAATAGTCCCGGTACCTTCTAAGCCAAAAATCGGGTTCAGTATTGACTCGATAGTGGGAGGAGGAGGAGGAGGAGGACGGGAAAATAGATTGGAGATCGAGAGGGATGGAAGCCCGATGGAAGTTGTGGAAGGCTCCTCATCACCGAGATTAAGAAGAGTCACCAGGTCCCCCGGTGCGCATTCTGAAGGCTCTGACCGTCCATTGTCCAGAAGTTCTTCTGTAGAATCCTACCCGTCGAGGCTGAACGGCCATCCGCACCCGGCCGCACGGCACCACCATCATCACCATCTGCAAGGATTGACTCACCTGGACTACAGCAGGACTCAGAATAGAAGTCACAGTGGCGGCTCAACGCCTAATAATAGTCCGAGTCCGCCTCACAGGATTTCCCATGGAGATTCTCCGGTTGGAGCACATCCTCAGCCGCCTCCTGGGGTCGTCAGGCCTAGTCCGAACTATCTAGGGCCGCCTCCTGGGGCGGCTACTGCTGCCGCCGTCGCTGCGGAGCAGATCAAGTCTTTGTATGGCCTCCAGGCGGGACACGGTGGACCTCAAGGACAATCTGAGTATCATTCTCAGCAGTTTGCTCTGGCGGCTAATTTAGCCGCGGCGCAGAACTTCCAGGCTTCGAATCTTGCGCTAGCGTTACAAGCGCATCATGGTGGTGCGCCGCATGGCTCGCCGCATGGGCCGTATTCTCATGGAGCCGCTTCGGGAGGCCCCCATCCGCCGCCTCATCCTCATCAGCCGAGGGACAGCTATCCGCTTTTTCCCTGGTTGCTATCAAGGCATGGAAGGCTTTTTCCTCACAGGTTTCCTGCAGGTAATTTATTTTATTAATTTTTTATTGATAGAAAAATTAAATTGATACGAGAGCAGAAATTTTAAAATTTTTAGTTTGATTCAATAAAATTTAAAAAATTATTAGAGACTAAATTGCACTGTACTTTCTTAAATATTGAGGTTTTTAAAGATATAAGCTCATCTCGATGTAAAACTCGTCAAGAGCTTTCATTTGAGTACCCACATGCATTTTTGATATATTTTTCATATATACATATATATAAATATATAAAATATATGAAATATTGATGTGGGTACTCGAATAAAAGGTCTTGATGAGTATAACATCGGGATGAGCTTATATCTTTAAAAATATCAATAGTTCACAAGATACAAGTTAATTTCTTGATTATGTTAAATTGCACTGTACTTTCTTAAATATTGAGGTTTTTAAAAAAAAAAAGCTCATTTTGATGTTACACTCATTAAGAGCTTTCATTTAAGTACCCCCATGCATTGTTGATATATTTTTCATATATACATATATATAAATATATAAAATATATATAAAACTGATGTGGGTACTCATATGAAAGGTCTTGATGAGTGTAACATCGGGATGAGCTTATATCTTTAAAAATGTCAATATTTCACGAGATACAAGGTCTTTTTTTGTCAAAACTTTTCCAAAGATACCAAATTTAACCATATAAAAACCCATTTTACCATATAAATACACTGTCCACAAAATTTTGCTTACTCTCTTAATAATGTAGATCATTTTATTTAATCAAAATTTCTTCTCTTATATAACAAATTAATTTTTTTATCAAGATACAATAGTATATTATAAAATAAATAATATCTAAAAGTGTCGCTACAATTAAATGCTCCAAGTTTTATTTAAAGTTACGCAATGTTTCGTAATTGAGATTTTATAACGACCGCTGACCCTATCGGCTTTCTTTGTTCACAAGTATTCTATTCCTCTCTCGCTATCGCACCGTACAACATTGACCACCAAACACTATCGATTAAGTCATTAACCCGGTTAATCCACGACACTTTTAAAGAATTACTAATTGCTGGTTTAATTACCAAATTAATTAGATTTTTATTTCTTTTTAATGCATCCGCAATCGGTTTTATTGCCTTATTCATTTTTTATATTATTATTATCATTATTATAATTATAATTATAATTATAGACACATATGTAATACGATGATAATACTTGACAAGTATATTTTTTTATATTCACCAATTGTCAATAGTTTGTTATCGTTTCTGCTAATTGTCTAGTTATCATCATCGCCATTAAACAGTTATTAACGATCATTATTATACAAACGTCACCTTGACACGTGGCGATTATATTACTGGTTGTAATAGTTCAGTAATTATAATTGTTTGCTAATTAAAAAAAAATTTTTTACTTATCATACACTAAGTAATTCTGTAATAATTTTTTTCTGTTTAAAATTTTTATGGTAATTTTACAAAAATTGTCTTAAAAAAATTTTTTTGACAAAATTTTAATTTGTAATTTTTTAATAATACAAAACTCTAATTAAAATTATCCATAAAAATTTTTTAATTACATTTTTTAACGTCTGAAAAAATTATTAACATTCTAAATTTATTTTAAAATTAAATTATTAAAAAATTTTACTCATAATTTAGTAAAAAAATTATTTTAATTTGTTATTTTGTAATAATACAAAATTTTAATTAAAATTATCCGTAAAAATTTTTTTAATTAATTTTTTTTTATCTAAAAAAATTATTTAAATTGTATTAAAATTCTAAATTGATTTTAAAATTAAATTATTAAAAAATTTTGCTCATAATTTAGTAAAAAAAATTTAAAATATTGTAAATTAAAAATTTTTTATAATTACACTAATATAATTACTAAGCCTCCTGAGAAAGGCTAATAAATCTACGGACTTGGTGTTCTTTTTCATTGACCCAGTATCTGGGTGAAACGTTTACTATTTAACTAGCTCATAATATTATTACATTAATTTATATGAGTAAATTAAAGATCATAAAGTTTAAATACATTTGCATTGGTTAGTATTACTAAACTATTATAATTATAATAATAATAATAAAAATAAAAATTAAATACAAGTAACAAGTATCGTTAGTGGCTGGAATAATCGTCTATTGTTAAACTTGGCAATTAAAATGTATTAATTTCATTTAATTATTGTTTTATCTTAAAAGCATATTTGTCGAGTCGGAATCATAGCTTCCCCGGTTATCATTGTTACTATTGTTATTATAAACTATTACCATTATTATGATACGATAACCGATAACGAAACCAAGTAATCATTTATTTAAAAGTAATGTAAACAATTGTCATATAATAGTGTCGTAGTAAACCAATTACGTTAATAAATATTAACATCTCATCGAGTTTATAGACTCCAGGTCATTAAGTCATAGTGTCACGATATCAGTTATTGATATCGGAATATAATTCTCCACGATTTGCAACTATAGATCGGAAAAATACTCTTTAATTAATGGTATCAATAAAAAGTCATTTTAAATTTTATAATCTATCTTGATAATGAGAGAAGAAATTTAATTAATAATTATTTTATTTATATAAACTGTTAATTTAATTTTTTAAACTGAATTACATTTTGTTTTATATGTATTTCAAGCCTTATTTTATTTTGTATTTATATTATTGCTCTAATCAGGTCTAAATTCTTGTATAATTAATTGAATTAAGGTTGGTGTAGACCAACATGATATTATGTTTTTTTATTCCATTTATTTTAACATGCGACTTTTCGTCAGTTTTATTCTGACATCATCAGGCACCTTAAAATTTTACAATATTAAAACACATAGTCTTTAATTTTAAAAAATTACTTTTACACTGAAAAAAAAAAAATTAATTTGATTCAACAGAAAAATTCTTGAACTAAGAATATAATTTTGAAGAGGGTAGCTGTCTGGAATCAAGACGAAAAATTCTTGAATCAAGTAAAATATTTCCTTAAAACAAGAATTTATGACATAAAAGTTAGCAGTCACTAGAGAATTTTTTAATTTTTTTTAACAAATAAATTTGTTAAAAAAAATTACTTTTAAAAAATTGCATTTTTTATTTTTTTTAATTTCTACATGTCAATTTTTTTTCTAATTTTTTTGCCATAATTTATAGAGAAAAAAAAATTCTCAAAATATTATTAAATACCTGCTAAATTTATTTTCATCAAGAATTTTTATACTCAAATCAAGAATATTAAGTTCTTCAAAATTATATATACTTGATTCAAGAAAATTTTTTTTTCTGTGTAAAGCTAATAAATTATTTTCTAGTTAATATTGATATATAATAAATTATCAAAAATACCCTTCAAATAAACACCAAGTTTCAGTCTTTGCTTTTTGGGAAGATACTTTAAGGTGCCCTTTTGGTAGAAAATTTTAAGGTGACGAAAAGTCGTATGTTAAAATAAATGGAATAATAAAACATAACATCATTTTGCTCGACAACATCCTGATTTGAATTAATTATATTGTATTTAATAACTGAGATTGTGTTATTTCAAAAACTTAGTTGATTTTGTGTATTTATTAACCATTTCTTCATTTCAACCTTGTTTTCAATTCCTTATATTCAATTGGCAAAAGATTAAAATATTTCATATGGACTTTTACTCTAACTATTTAGAATTGAAAATTTATGATTTATAAATTTTTAATTTAAAATTAAAAAAATAATTCTTTAAAAATACAGTTAGTGCAGTAAATAATTGAAAATGAAAACCGCTTTGTATTTTGTATGACAAGACAATCTTTAGCTTCACAAAAGCGGGTTAATTGGCATTGTTAAAATGTCGTTTACCCTCGAGTACGCTCCACGGGATGTCTGATGCTCACGATAATACTCTTATACCATTTATATATATATATATATATCCTTATATACTTTATATTTCTATTATAAAGTAGTTTCACACTTTTTTAATCCTCGATTTACTATATTGTTGGGATGACATCCCGCCTGCTGGCCTGTCTTTTTATTGTAGTATAGTCAGAAAAAACTTTTTTGTTAATGTGACTTTTCATGGGTTTTCTTGAATTCCGTATTCTTCTCAATAAAAAGTTCTTTTTATATCTCAAAAAAAAGACCTACATTATCAACACTAGAACTTTTAATGGACGGAACAAATATAAAAAGAATTAATAATGAAACTTATCAATTTACCGAACAAGGAAATTTAATTAACGATTTTCAATTAAGTTCCACTGCAAGGCATTCAATAGCTAATTTAAAAGGAATTTAGCTGATTAATTGCATATTTAGAATTTTATCAGCTTTACAAGCATGATCATCTGAAGAGATTGCTTCTAATGAATATTAAAGTTAATAAAAAAATTTAAATACTTTTATTGTTTTAATGGTGTTAGATAATTAACTCGAAAATTGGCGTGAATTATTAATCATCTTTTATAAGAATTCAAAGCCGCTTAAATTTTGGTTCCAAGCCTCCTTGCGGAGGAACGGTGTACTATCTTCGACCAATAGAAACTCAGGATTTTAAAACTCCCGCCCTCTAGCGTTGTTCTATTGAAGTTAATCTGAAAATTATTAAATTATTCTGTTTAACTTTGAATAAATGGCTTGAAGTATATAATTAATTTTGTTTTAAATAAATAAAAAAATTTCTTTTGATAAAATTTAAATGATAAGAAGCAAAAGGTGTGCAGTATAATGTCAATAAATAAAAAAAATGTCAATTAACCACAAAATGGATTTCTCTGTGAAGTAAAAACAAAATTAATGGGAGACTAACGTTACCTCAATGTTTTTAAGTACATAAAACAACATTTCGCAATCGATCAACCAGAAATAAGTATATATATTAGCATTATACATGTGATAAAGCACTCACGCGATTTTCTACAACATTTAACGTCGTTGTAACTCGTGATCGCATTAAGAGTCTCAGCTCAGAACTCTGCGTCCAAGTAATAATAATACTAATGACTTGGACGGGAGGAATTTCTTAAAATGCATGTGTCCGATACGAGTGCACAGTACAACGATTAATTAAAAAAGCATTAAGCCACTAAAAAATATTTATGAAACTCAACTAACAGTTGTTACCGTGTTAGGAAATACGTCAATCCTGCTAAGTATATCCTCTAACTTATATTTTCAAAGTTATATTATATTTATTTATACTTCACTCAAGAAGAAATCGAGATAATTTCATATGTTACATCGTTTAGTATTATTTTTTAGTAATTCTAGGCTTCTTTGGGCGTACTCATAGTTTTTAATATAATTACTACACGTCATTATTTTGTTTCTCTTCGCTTGCTGTCTCTGATCATTTGTAAAACTATTAAAATTTTTTCAAAATTACTATTATTTCATTTTTTTTCTTCACATATACTTATACATGTAACACTCAAAAGATATGTGTGGTAAAAATTCAATATGGCTCAAGTTGTATTTTTAAAATATTACTTTTTTCATATGAAATTTAACTTATTCATTTAAATTTAAATAGTATAATTTACAAAAATTAGTATTGTAACTTTTTAATTTGCTAGATATGTGTATATTTATAAGGTAATTTAAGTTTTACTAATGTGGTCTTAATAATTAATACTTGCTAATTGAAATTGTTCTAAATATTTTTTTCACAGTATCTCATTACTTCAATAAAAATATTTAATTATTTATTTCAGCCACGAGGGCTTAGAAATAGGACCGAGTACATATATATCCTTGCATAAACTCAATTCTATTACACTAGATTTAATTATTTCAACTTAATGCTAGAAGTTAAATTTGCGCGCGCCTGAATATAGAGTTTGCATATATTTTTAAGCTTATTATATATTTGACCAATCATGTTACGAATAGTTTGCAACACACATTTTTCATCTTCATTTTTAATTTTTATACTAGAATTCAAATTTGAATTCGACTTAAGAATCTTTTAAAATGAATTTTGGTTTTTTGACAAAAGAATATCAATATATCTATCATGATAATAAAATGTTGGCATTAATTTTGATGGATTAACAAATGAATAGGTTCACTTGAATTAAACAAAAAATACGTCGATCAATTCTTGAGACAAGAAAATATATTCTTGAAAATGATCAAGAATATCGACGGTCTAATTAGCAATTGGTCTTGTGACAAGAAAATTTTCTCAAGAATAGTACTTTTTTTTTCTCAGTGTATGGTATATTTGACCAATCACGTTACGACACATATTTTTCATGTTAATTGTACTATAGGATAACTTAATAACAATCCGTAAAATTTTCTCTATTATTTCTCGACATAAATATATATCTTTTCTGTTATACTTATTTGCACTTTATAAATTCTGTATATAAGTCTTTTTAAATTATATAACTTTTTGGTATTTACACTGCCAATCTTTAAAATATTTAATTATTTTTATGAGAATAAAATAGATAGATAGATAGATAGATAGATAGATATCGATTTAGCTAATAAAAACAATAAACAACAACTATAATTAAATGTCCAGGTTAAATAAATGATCAAATATTTTATTTTTAAAGCTCTCTAGACTAGTTGACTCTATTATGGTTGCTGGCAAAATAAGCGATCTGAAAATTTTTATAACAAATCAATTATAATAATAAATATTTTCAAAATTCGCTTTTATAATTTGTTTTTTTTTTAATTTCTAACCGTGGAATTTTTTTCATAATAATTATTTATTTATTTGAGTATGAAAATTAATTCAACAGATAATTTTTGTAAAAAATTTGACATTTAGAAATTTAAAATAAAATTACAAATACAAATTATCAGAAGAATTTTGTTAAATAAAATTAAAAAATAGTTAAATGTCTGCTAATTTAACTGTAATTAATTTTATTAAAAATTTACAAACTTGTTAATTTCAGTATCATTTATATTGAAGTTAAAATAATATTCCACGACAGCTACTGAATCTAACCTTTTTCCATTAAACTTCAACTTTCTTGAAGAAAATTTGATTAAACTATCACTAAACGCATAAATTAACCAAACAATTAATCACATAATTAATAATATTCATATAAATTGCTTAATACTTAACAATTTATAATCTCTACAATAATATATATAATTGAAATTAAGCATACAAGTGAAATATTACCTGCATCGACGTTTCTTAACCATCAATAAATCTTCCATTAGACGTAAATTAATATCTGTGTGCTCCCAGCCAATTATCGTTTTTCTAGTGTGTAACCTTAAAGAAACAAACACTTTAATAAGTAAAAAATTAAAATAAAAAAAATTCTCAACTCTCCAACTCTCCTTAATATAATTATCCCTCGTGATTTGAATAATAAAGAAGAATATATCAGCAATTACAATCAATGATTATCAATTAGTGACATATAATTTTTTTTCTTGCTTGGACGACAATAATAATTCCTTTTTATTTATATTTATATACAATAAAATTTGTTATTTATAGTTTGTAAAAAAGTTGTCGGGCTGAAGTTGTGCGTATTTATCGTAATTCCTTTCCGTTATTACTCGCAGCGTGTATCTCGAACGACTTCCGGCGTCGCTGGCGCGTGTATCGGACGATCGACAGGCACCTTTCGAGGTAGAATACTCAATTAGGTAGTTACAATAATACTCCCGCGCTCGCGCTACATGCACCTCTTTTCAACCTTATACCTTTACCTTATATTTACACGCGCCCTATACTAATTTTAATAATAATAATAATAATAATAATAACTATTGAAAATAATCACACGGTACATGTATTAAGAAGTACAAAATACAAACTTTTTCTGGCCAATCGAGTTGATATTTACAATAAATTAAATTATTCACACAAGTCATCCATCAATTATCTTTTACGTTTTTTATTTACAAATGGCTACTTATTTCTTCATTAATATTTATTTTTAATGACAAGCTTGTCATAAAAATAGTATTATTATTAAGTATACATTGTAAGTAAATTATAATAATGAAGAATACTGAAGTTAATAGATATTAGAAATTTTTTTAGAATTTTCAAAAATCATACATGGAATTTTATTGATCAAAATAATAAAAAAACTAGCAACCTTGCAGTCACTATCCCTGATTAAAAAAAAGTATTGAAAAATATTGAAAAAGTAAGATGTGACTTGTGAATTATAAATAAATAAAATTTTGCATTATTAAATAATTAATTTTATAAAATTGCACTACTTTTTTAAATATTGACGTTTTTAAAGATATAAGATCATCTTGACGTTACACTTATCAAGAGCTTTCATTTGAGTACCCACATGCATTTTTGATATATTTTTCATATATACATATATATATATATATAAATATATAAAATATATGAAATATTGATCTAGGTACTCAAATGAAAGGTCTTGATGAGTGTGATGTCGTGGTGAGCTTATATCTTTAAAAATGTTAATCGGGCATAAGAGATTTGTTAAAATGCCCTGTACTTTCTGAACTAAATGACCTTTTTGAAGATATAAGCTCATACTGATGTTACACTCATCAAGAGCTTTCATTTGAGTACCCACATGCATTTTTTGACATATTTTTCATATATACATATATGTAATATATAAATATATAAAATATATGAAAAATTAATGTGGGTATTCAAATGAAAGGTCTTGATGAGTGTAACATCAGGATGAGCTTATATCTTCAAAAATATCAGTAGTTGAGAAGATACAAAGTCATTTCTTAATTAATGACATTTTTAATGACATGGTATATGCTCATCCTG